CTTTCAAACTTTGGCTATTAAGCCCAAAACAATATTTCTTTCTCAAACAAGTCCCTAACTCACTTTAATGCTCTAGAAATTTTGGGGTATTACATAAAATGTAACAAAATTTTCATAGTCCATTTCATATTGTACAAGAATTCAAGTAAAATTTACCTATAAAAAATATTAAAATAAAAATTCACAATTAATTCATAAAATCTGGATTTCTCAACCGGATCTAACTTGCTATTATGGAACCATATTTCCAACTGAATGTTCTTTAATTTCCCTTTTCATTTCAAATTCTAAACAACATGTAAGATGGAGGAAAGGGGTTGTTTTGAGGAAGAAGAGAAGGGAAGATTCATGAACACAAACCCAAAAAATGCATTAAGGTGAAGTTGCTGATATATATTTGTTCATGAACAAAAACCCAGATCTGGGTTTGTGTTCATGAAGACGTACAGACCCAGATCTGGGTTTGTGAAGCCAGATCGAGTTGGGTTCATCAACACAAACTCAGATCTGGGTTCACAATCATGAACCCAAAGAAAAAGATGGGAGGAGAGTGCAGAAAAAATCTGGAGTTGGGGTGCGAAATAGACACAAAAACAATGATAATAATAAAATAAAAGGAAAAAGGGAGGAAACGGTTGGAGGAGAGGGAGATAATGGAGAACAGTTACTGAAGTAATGGGGGTGAGGGAGATTAATGGAGGAAAACGGTTGCTAGAATAATGGAGGAGAGGGAAAAGTTAATTGCTATAGTTAAAAAGGAAGTTATGTGATATTAAGGGTCATTTATATGATATTATGAAGGTAATAAATATAATTATAGGGTTATAAACGGAGTTATATATTCGACTCTTCAAACAAAAAATTTAAAATTAGTGTGAATTACAGTAAATAGTCGACTATATGAATTCAAATTCGACTCTTCTAGGCACTAGAGTCGACTATACCATAACAAGAGTCGACTTCCAAATTCCAGAGAGCAGTGAAACAATTTGGTCTAGCACAGAGTCGACTCTTTACTAAAGAATCGACTCTTAACGATACATATTCGACTCTTAGTTACATAGAGTCGACTCTTCTTGTTGCAGGGAAGTAGACACTTCCACTCTCAAAGTCGACTATTATTTCTTAGAGTCGACTGTTGTTCTTCAAAGAGTCGACTCTCAAAAGTTATAGTCGACTCTTGGGCGCGGGATTTGATTAAAAGCGCGACAGTTCCAGTTTTCCCCATTTTCCCTCTCTCTCCTATTCGACTCTCTGAGAAACCTAACCCTCAAAACAGCCAAAATCCTCCCAAATTTCACAAAAATAACTCACCCAAACACAAACCCACATCATTTTCGGCCCATTCCTCTAAGAATCGTGCATTATCTCCCAAAAATGGTGAGGACTAAAAGAGTTGTAAAGAAACCAAGGGGGCAGGCGACAAGCACTTCTGGAAGGCGTCGAAGGGCTGAGCAAAGTCCTGAGGAGAGCGGTGAAAGCACAGACACCGAGCAGGTATTTCAACCCGATAACCCTCGGAACTTTGTATCTGCAAATGCTATGGATATATATAGAAATTTAGGAAATAGGAATGTCATTTATGGGTTTAGAGTAGTTTTGGAAGATATATGCAAAGGGGGGCTGCATGTAAGAGAGATGTTAGATGCAATGGGATGGACTGAATTAGTAACTAGAAAGGTGAGGGTTTACCCGCAATTGATTAAGATTTTTTATGCAAATTTGAGTGACTCAGAGGATGGAGGGTATAAAACAATGGTTCTTAGGAAGACTTTTGAATTTGATGCTGAAACCATAAATGATGTTTTACATTTGCCGAATGAGGGAGCCAGGGAATTGCATGCATTTACAGAGGAATCAGCAAAGAAATCTATCATGGGGGATGAGTGGAATGAGGGACAAACATTAAGCATTCACCACTTGAATTTGGAGAATCGGTTAATGTTTTGGATTTACAATCACATAATTTTACCAAGGCAAGGTTCTTTTGGGAAATTTAGTGGTCCGGATTGTGTGTGGTTTGCATATATTCTTAGCCAAAGGCGGATCAATTTAGGACACCATATTATGAGACACATGGTGTATTATAGGGGTAGATCGACACTCGCATTGGCGTATGGCACTCTAATCACGTTACTTATGGAAAATGTGGGTGTTGATTTGAGTGGTATGGAGTCCCAAGACTTATACCATCACGAGCTTCTGAACGAGAGTTCACTGAACAAAATGGGGTATGTATTCAATGCAAGAACAAATTCGTGAGAAATGAAGCAGAGAAGGAGAAGAGGAGAACAAGATGATGAAGGTGAGGGGTTTGATGATGAAGAACATGCCGAAGAAACTGAAGAAGCAGGTCCCTCATAAGCTGCTTCATCTTGAGTTCCTCAGAGATTAAGCACACAGAGAGGAATGCAGCTCATTCTCGAGAGACTTACACGGATTGAATCGAAGCTCGATGATCACATTCGCGAGTGTCAGATGGCAGCACCTATAGGTCTTCGAGGGAGAAGAGGAGATCCGTCTACTGCTGGCACATCCTCCGAACAGCAACCACCTGATCCCTTTTCACATCCGGACGCATAAATCCGGATGTTGCAGTTGTTGATGCCTGTTAAATTCTCGTTTTAGTGTATAAACACTGTTTGGAAGGTTTTATTAATGTTCTGACTTTTTATATATTTGAATATGTACATATAATGTTGACAGTAGATGCAGTTTTAATAGAAATGAGCATATCATAATTGTGATGATTTTGTTTGGTTGATTATGTTCTTGATGTGCTTCCATTGATGGCGAGCAATGTGGTAGTTCATAGTGTGCTTGAATGGCAATGTGTGGTTCTTGTTTTAAAGTTTGATGTGCATGTCGGTTTTAATGGATCATTTGTATTTTATACAATTTGTGATTGTATATAGAAGGATTTTGAAGTTTTTTTAATAGTAATGTATGTCTCATACTCCAGTCAATACAGATTATACCGTTGATGTTGATGAAAAAAAGGCAAATTCTGGAAAACCAGAAAAATGGGCTTAAGAGTCGAATATAGCAGTCCACATTCGACTCTCCAGGCTATGAGAGTCGACTATAAAGCATCAAGAGTCGACTCCCAAATTCCAGTGAGCGGGAAATGTATTTGTTACATCTCATAGTCGACTCTTCATATATAGAGTCGACTCTTTTTGCCATTAGAGTCGACTCTATAATGTGAAGAGTCAAATACCAAATTCCAGTAAGCAGGAATTATATTTGCTACAGATCATAGTCGACTCTCCATTATAGAGTCGACTCTTTTGGCTTTACAGGCGACTCTATGATTTGAAGAGTCGACTACAAAATTTCAGTAAGTGGTATAATTTTTCTCTGCATCACAGAGTCGACTCTTCATTATAGAGTCGACTCTTCTGGCTTTAGAGTGGACTGTATTATGTGAAGAGTCGACTACCAAATTCCAGTAGCATTTTTTCCCTTCATATAGCCGACTCTCCATGTTGAGAGTCGATTCTTAGTCCTTTACAGTCGACTCTAGTAAGTAAGATTGGACTCTTAGACAATTGGGGTTGAGAAAGTAAAAGAATTTCATACAAACTCTTAATAGTCAACATGAGAAAAACTTAGAAATCATTAATAAACATTGTAATATAAAAATATACAAGATAATCATAAGAAAACAAGAGAACTTGGAAAAAAAATTGAAGAACATAAGTAAGACAATGATACTACGGTTCTTCAATGGATCGTAATTTTTGAATGGCAGCATCCCAATACTTTTTTTCTATGGTAAGACGGCTACCACTAGGAAAAATCTTTGTAATTGTTTCGGAGGACTCAGTAGGGGCATTGGGTGGATGTGATAGAAATGATGATCGATAACGATTCGAGCAACTTTTTGCAATATGACTGTCACGGTTACACAGTTGACAAGTTACAGCATATCGGTGTGGGCAAACTGCAGCTAAATGTCCAGGAGTATCACATATTTAACAACAGAGTAGTCTACAATATTAGGTAATGGAATGTGTTGGTCAATTGATACATTATTCTTTGCTTTTTTTAATTTCCTGTTGGGAGAACTCTGAGATGGGCAATTCCATAATGATTCAGGAGTATCCTCAACTATTCCTGTGTAAAATAACATCAAGTTAAATAATGTGATAGTAAA